GCCCCGGTAGTTCAGACCCTGGCTAAGAAGAGGGCTCAGTCACGCTGAAGCCAGGGCGGAGAGAATCTGGCCCCAACCGTGGGCAGGACTTCGGTTGAAGAGGGAGCCCCAGGGCCTCGCTAGAAGAGAAACAGAGCCTCCCGAAGGGGAAAAGTCTGGCTGGTGATCCAGAGAGATTCTTGGTCCAGTCTCTGTTTGGCAAAGCCGCTTCCAGGAGACAGCTCCGGTTTGTTTGCCTGGCTGGTGTCGTAAGCATGGAAAGACCCGCGTGTCCGGAGGGATAACATTATAAGAGGAAGACACACCTGTTTGCTTAAATGTGTGATTTGACTCCAGCCGTGGGATGTATTGTGGTCTGCATGTGCCTTCTGCTTCTGACCTGGGGTCTGAGCAAGGACATAAAGCATAAGGAGTTGAGAAGGGCCCTGAAGCTGGATTTGGCCTGAGGTCTGTCCAGTTCAGGGTTCGGAGGGCACCCTGTCCAAACGTGTCTTGGAAAGGCCCTGAGAAAAGGCATAAAACCTGCTCTGCTGATTGCTTTGCGGCCCCTCCCTGCTGCCGAAACATCTACGTCTGTTTGCCATCGAATGCTGGGTAAATAATGAGAAAAAAAGACAAGCCGCTGCCTTATAAACTCAGTGGTGTCAAGGGTAAATCCGGGAACGAGGGCGACTCCCTTTCGAGACTCCAGACCCACAAACCGAAAGCGACTTGGTCCGGCTGTCGTCCGACTTTGCCGGGGTGGGTGGCTTTGAGGTTGGCTTCTGGGAACGAGGGTGACTCCCTTTCGAGACTCTAGACCCACAAACCGAAAGTGACTTGGTCCGGCTGTCGTCCGACTTCGCCGGGGTGGGTGGCTTTGAGGTTGGCTTCACGACAAAGATTTTGGTCCCAGCTGCTGAGTTAGGAAACCTCCCCCCCCCCGGGTCAAACTCTGCACCCCCAAGTCTTGCCTCAGCCATTGCAATCTCTTTTCAACCTGCCAGATGGACATTGGCTCCCTGAATCTTTGACCAGTGGACAGAACTGAGGGCAAAAACATCTGGGAGGGGCCGAAGGGGGGGGAACGGGCACCCCTGGCTCAAACCATGGGGTAAAAAAAATCGCAGGCCAGCCCACTCCCCGGGGCAACAGGAGGGCTGGCACGGGAGAGCCGGTGCTTCCAGGCAGTGGACATGAAGAGGCCTTGCAATTCGTTTTCCGTTAAGAGCAAATCAGGCAAATTAGCAAAAATAACCACAACCAACCCCCTAAAGAAAAGGCAATGAACTGATGCCGGCAGTGTGTGTGTGTGGGGGGGGGTGGTCGCGTTCCTCCAACATTTAAGGCCGGTGGAGGCTGACCACTCAAATAACACATTTTGCCACTCTGGCTGAAATGGTGGAGGGATTCGGGGAGGGAGGCCAGGGCTGGTCCCCCTCTGACCAGGGAGGTCCCTCATCTCTCCCACCCCGAGGGATAAGAAGCCCCGGGCAGGCAGGAAAGCCCCCTGGGTGCAAAAACCAGCCTCCTCGGAGGGCAGACCCAGAAACCCTCTGGCTTCCCTCCTTCGGAGCCCAGAGGGAAAGGCAGGGCACGCGCAGGGGCGTGTGTGTGTGTGGGGGGGGCGTCCCGTCCCAGGTTCACCCTGCCCAGGCTGCCCGGTCCAAAGCTCTGCGTGGTGCCTCCCCACAGGTAAGGCGGCCGGTCGCCCCGACGTCTCCTCTCCTGCGCCCATTGCGCGGAGGGTGAGCGCCGGGAAGCCCCGCCAGCGCCACCGACACGGGACCCAGCGACCCACGGGAGGTCTCCGGCTCCTGCCTGAGGATGATGCCCTCCGAATTGGGCTGCCGGCGCCGATGCCCCCCTCCCTCCAGCTGCACTCACCGGTCCTGAGCGCCGCCAGCGCCAGCAGGAGCAGCAGCGCCGCCGGTCGCCCCCTCGGGCCCATCAGAGCTGGCAGCAGCGCGCCCGTCCTTCCCTCCTTCCCTCCGTCCGTGTCCGTCCCGTCCAGGTGCCGCTGGCCGACTGGGCTGCTCCGGGCACGGGGGGGGGGGGGGGGGCGGGGGCTGTTCCTCCCCC